ATAGAATCATAGAATTGCCCAGGCCGGAAGGGACCTCCAAAGGCCATCTAGTCCGACCTCCCCGCAGTCAGCAGGGACACCCCCAACTAGACCAGGTTGCCCAGGGCCTCGTCGAGCCTCACCTTGAATATCTCCAGGGATGGGGCCTCAACCACCTCCCTGGGCAACCTGTTCCAGTGCTCCACCACCCTCACAGTGAAGAACCCTCTCCTAATCTCCAATCTAAATCTGTTCCCCTCCAGCTTGAAGCCATTTCCCCTCGTCCTGTCACTGCAGGCCTTTCTAAACAGGTTCTCCCCAGCCTTCCTGTAGCCCCTTCAGGTACTGGAAGGCTGCTATTAGGTCTCCCTGGAGCCTCCTCTTCTTCAGGCTGAACAACCCCAGCTCCCTCAGCCTGTCCTCGTAGCAGAGGTGCTCCATCCCCATGATCATCCTCGTGGCCCTCCTCTGGACCCTCTCCATCAGGTCCATGTCCTTCTTATGTTGAGGGCTCCAGACCTGCACACAGCACTCCAGGTGAGGTCTCACCAGAGCAAAGTGGAAGAATTACCTCTCTGGACCTGCTTACTTTCCTTTGCTATAAACTGTCACTCCTCTCTACACATCAAGGTTCTTCACAATTCAGATATGCACAAAAACCTGTTTCAAACGAATTCTTGTAGCAGCCCACTCCTCCTTTGGGCTGATGGCAGGCCTAATGTATGTTTTGCTCCTGAAACCTGTATAACAAAATCTGTATGCAGTATCTCCGTTCAAACCCGGACCAAAGAAAACACGACCCAGATGTCGACCCCACGATCTTATGAAAATTAACCAGAAGAATTCAGTGCTTTTTAGCCAATGTCACTAAATATAAATATTTAGATAGTGGATCATCAGGCCAAGTGTAGCGCTTTCGCAGAGCGCTCCCTGAAACCAACGGGAGTCAAATACAGCTCTTTGGGACAATCTTTGCCCCTTGGAGAAGGCTGGCCACAATTCAACTGTACCTACTTGCTCCAGTGAGGGGACTGAAATGCTTTAAATGCAAACCACACAAACGTGCTCCCTACTTGTTAAATGACTTTAGTGCCTTGGTACTACTTAAGCCAAGAAGAGAGAATAAGTTTAAAGGAATATTACTTTTAGGAACCAAACAAAAGCAAACCTTGCTGCTTAATTCAATAATAATTTTTTTTGTTATAAGTAAGAACATTCACATGAGCATTGTTTTTAAGGGCTTTTTAATAATGCATTCAATATGTGCTGAACAAAGAGCCATTTTACATATGTAGATCAAAGTTAATAAAGGAAATGGCATCCAAATTGATGCTGTTTATTTTCATTGGCTTGTTTCTATAGAGAATTTTTTCTAGAGGTTCTAAATATACTATCTTTTTTCTTTTTTTTGTTTTTTTTCCCCATTCCAGCTTAATTCTTCAGTTAGACTCCATCAGGCAACTATACCAAGGGTCAGACACAGTATCCTTTGGAAACTGCCTACCTAGGCTGTGGTTAGTTGAGGCTGTGTGGCTCCTGGAAAACAACACAGGTAGCCACCAAGGCATTTTAACTCAGTCCATTTCCTGCTTAAAATAGCCTGGATACCAACTTTCCTTTTAACAATATTTACCATTGTTTCAAATCACCAGATGTAAAAAATAATAATGTAAAAGATGTCTAGTTTAAGCTCCAAAAAGGCCTGTTCTTGACAATAGCCATATAACATCACTGTCACTAGAGAAGCCTCAGCCAACTTGCTGGAGGTGATTTTTACCAGGATGCTGTTCTGCACCAGTTGAGAGTTGGATGCTCTCAAAAAATGCTGCATTTTTCCCAGATCTGGAAGTACAGATGGCAGATAAGAGGATGAACATAATTTCAAATAGTCTTTTTGAAATAGAGGCTTGTTCTAGACATGTGGAAAACACTTTAAATTATTACTTAAATATATTGCTTGAGGCATGTGGTAAGATTATCCACTGCTCTTTGTGCATTCTTCTATACTTCAACAGGCTTTGCCAATAAATAAGAATCCATCTACACTTTTAACATCTCTAGATTTAAAATGGCTATTGCTGCTAACACCAGCATTTTCAACATGGATTATACATATTACTGCCTTTGTAAGAGCATGAATAAGATACTAATGGTGTCTGGTTTGTGTAAAGTATTTCCATTCTCACCAGGCAAGCATGATTTGAAATTTAAGAAGCTGTCTATCTATCAGTGTGTACCACAGGAATAAGTGAGCAGTGGGTAGCATACCCTCCCTGTACGGGAGGTGTACGACTCACTGATGACTCAACTGACAAAAAAGTATTCTTAAACACAGCTCAAATACATTCTAGACCTGTCAGAGCTCTTCTGAAAACACTTTGGGAGAGGGAATAGTCTAAACTGGAACAGCAAGTTTAATTGGCCTATTTCCAAAATACGTATTTTATGATTCAGCACGTTAGCGTATAAAATCTCAACAATCAGCGAGGTTCTTAATCACTCTGCTTGACTGTACAGGAATTCTTTTTTTTCAGAAAATTTTTTGCCTAATTTGCTGTTTACTGTGATTAGCCTTTAATCTGACAGCCTAAAAAAAAGGCAACACAGAATGTTGAAGCGTTCCGCTACAAAACTGAAAACTGGTAAAATAACAGTAATTCTAAATTGCAGTTGAAATGCTCATGATTTTTTACAATGGGAATTGCTGCTGATCATTATTGGTTCCTTCAAAAGTAATCTCCTCAATGAGGAAAATGGCCAAAGAAAGCAGGTGAGGGACTGAAGAGGAGGGACCCTGAGACAATGAATGTTCCATAGCATGTAAAGAAATACTGCAGCTGAGCAGCAATGAATTAGCTGAGGATGAAAGGATGGCAAGAAGACTGACCATTGCAAGCTTAAATCACTATGCATTAGAAAGAAAGGGGGGAGGAAAAAAGGGAAAAAAAAAAAAAAAAAAGAAACGTCATAACACATTCCACTGGTTTATACCTGATTTCCCAGGAAGAACTGATAAGAAATGAAAAATGGAAGAAAGACACGATTAGTTTACAGGAAATTCTCTATATGACTCTAGAACACATGCAAACTAACACATTAGACATTCTAAATAAAGTATCTACTTCAGAGACGAGCAGGTAGCTAGCCATCCGGAGACTGAATATTGGGAAATATTCAAGGCCTTTGTTTCCTTCCCATTGCTGTTTTTGTGATCTCTTCAAATCATCTACAAGTATTTAGTAAACTCTCTTAGCCAAATATTGAGAGTATGTCATCTGAAATTGTTCTGGTTATTGAATCTAGGGGTAGCAGATCTTTCTCTACAATGTGATATTTATTTTTCTGCCATCTAAAAGCGTTCTGCAGATATCCAGCACATTTCTTGTACTTCTTCAGAAGGAACAGTGTGCTCTGATAAAATGACAAGGGAGGATAAAAGGGACTGAATGCACTTTGGTAAAAGATTTTTAAAGTACAACATAATACCATGGGAAAATATCACTGTTTTTACAAAACTAATAGAAAACCAGCTACAGTTTAAACATGTCGGGTATCCAGGCAAAAATATTGGCTTTTAAGGAGCTGTTTTAATGTATGTATGCATGTGTGTATGTATGTATGCATACAGTTAGCTTTTAAAAGTTCCCATATATTGAAAACAGTTTCAGCAGTTTCAGTGAAAATAAATACAAACAGCAGCATTTTCCTGTATGTTCTAACAAGAAAAAACCCCATAAAATTTAGACAAGCGTAAAGTAAGAAAATATATAATTGTCATACAAAATTCCTGTGAATTAATATAGCCTAATCCTTTGCATAACCATGTCATCCAAAGAATCTTTAATCTGAAAGAACTCAGAAGGTCCCCAGAGGACTTACCCTGTACTTGTTATCCCCAATCTGTTCCACTTGAAACCGCTTTGCACATTTACATTTAGCTACCTGCCTTGTTACCTGCAAAAAAACACAACTGGATGATTACTTTACTGCAAATACCACAATTCTAAATATTTATGTAACTGGTAAACTTCAAATTATATAGGAGTGAAAATAAAATTAATTATCAAAGAACATGACCTGAGCAGAATAGAGTGTAATCTAAGAAAATAGAGAATGTACCTCATCCTCAATTTTGTCAGCATCAGTGAGAGGCTTGTAAGCATCCTTGTTTGGATGAAGAGCTGCTACAAATTCATAATAGTCAATATATCCATCACCATCTCTATCAAAAATGTCTGCAACTGCACTCATTTCAAGTCGGCTAGTTGGGAATTCTGTAAGACAAAGACAACAACAAAAGCTATATTTTTTGGCTTTTCCATGCCATTACAGCGAAAGGCTTTATCACATACATTTAAAGTTTTTTAGGCACTAGGTGACAGACAATCCTTATAAAAAAAACCAAGGATATTGAAAAGAGTGAAGGAATCTTTCTGAAAAAAAAACCCAAACAATCTGGATCTCCAATGTTACCTCGATATTGGATTAAATTGTAGATCATAGTGTGGCTTGAAGAGAGAGAGAGAAGTAAGGACGCAAATTAAACTGTAAGATACACGTAAATTTTTTTTTTAATATTTTGACCTTCAAAGTGCATAAAATACCACAGATTAACAAGATAAATTGTTAGTGAGGAAAGGTCAAGCAAGAATTTCACTGCTAATTAAATCTGGAATGCAAGGCCTTCCCACTGCAGAGACAGGCACAATGTTTTGTGAAATCCTTCTTCAGCTCCAGCTCACGGCAGCAGAACATTAACCCAAACAGATTCCCTATGAAATGGCTGAAGAAAATTTCAAGATGGTGAACAGAGATTAAACCATGAGTATTTAGTAGTTATAACAAGTTGATACCAACTGAGTAAAACGAGTAAGCTGTTTAACCTCTTGGTTGTATCGGGGTTTTTTCATCAACTTCTGTCAATACATGCAAAACAGCGATGCATAAACATAGTGATTATATTAATGCAAATTTATCTTTAATAAGAATCATATGATCATATGATCTGGTTTTGGAAATTATCTATAGGTTTTTTTGTTTTATTGTTTATTGTTCTGACTAATCAATGAAATGTAACTGTTGAAGTGGTTAGTGTACTGTAGAAATGACAATCTGAGTACAGTAAACTATTAATTAGCCAATAATATAATGTAACATTTGTAATTTGATTCACAAGGCAAAAGAACTAGAAAGAGTTCCCAGAATCTAGAAATACTTTAAAGTAAAATAATTATAGTTTAGACTAATCACAATTATTGATTTCAAAAAGGAAATCTGTGACCTTGTAGCACAATAAGCTGCATAGAGTACACTATAGAGACAGTAAGACATCATAAGATGTTTGTTCCAAGTTTGACTGTAAGTTCAATTTTAAAACTTACTTGAAGAAAGAATTCCATCAATAAATTCCTGTCTTGTTATCTTTCCATCCTGATCTTTATCAATCCTCCTAAAGAAGTCCATCACACGAGACTTCTTATGGTTCATCCATCGCATGTATTTTTTCCTCCAAATATCAAAATCAAAGTTGGCAAATTCTCTCAGCTTAATAAAAAAGAGAAAGAACTTTTTCAGTTGAAATCAATCAATCTAGAAAATCCATGTCAGAGATACCACCTGCGTTCTTTTCAATAATTGCTTCTTTGAGGACCTATATAAGCATTTTAAACATGTTAATACTCCTCATTTACGATTTAATCTAGGGTAAACAAAATTATGCAATGGGTATGTATATTCCTTTTCTGACCTCTTCAAGTCTGTCCAAAGCATCATTAAGTTTTCTCCTCCTTTCCAAGGCCAGAAGCCAGACTTGCTGCCATTTGCTGACCAGCAGGTTTACCCGTGGGTTCTTGGTTTCGATCTGCGTGGGGGCTGCTGACAGGTAGATGCCTGGTGTCGGGGAACGCTTTCCTGTTAAAACATGACAAAAAGTCTAAGTCTCACCCAGTTCAAACAAAACATTCACATGAAGGGCACTTGACCTTCCTAAAACTACTCCCTCCTGTCCCAAATAATGAGCCCACACCTTGATATGGTTCCATGTAATGGGGTTTTTATTTTTTACCATCGCTGGGAAAGGACCACATGGTGGTCAAAGCATCTTTTGTGTAGCCAGAAGCAGGCAGCAGTGGCTGCACTAGTGGAGCTGCACAGCTTAAATAAAATCTTTGCAAACCTCACCGATATGGTTCCATTTAATGGGATTTTTTGTTTTTATTTTTTACCATCGCTGGGAAAGGTTGATATGGTTCCATGTAATGGGGTTTTTATTTTTTACCATCGCTGGGAAAGGACCACATGGTGGTTAAATTGTGTAGCCAGAAGCAGGCAGCAGTGGCTGCACTAGTGGAGCTGCACAGCTTAAACACAATCTTTGCAAACCTCACAGTAAACAACCTGATTTTAGAAGCAGGTTCCATGTAGGGGTAAGTAAAAAGTACAATGGGCGAGTACATCTAAAAATACAAAAAGCAATTTCCTCACTTGATGATTCACTTTCCATTCAACTTCACTGAACGCACTTTCTAACTGGATCCGTATCAACTCGTAGATCTAAGAGCAAATTTTGCCTCTACATCTTTGTGTAAAAGAAGTTGTTCACACTTTGAGATAACGGTAGATTTGCAAAGCCTCAGCAAGTGCACATTCTTGGAAGTTTAACAGCACCCGAAAGGCTGCATGCTTTAAAAATAGGTATTCCAAGAAGTACAGGACAAAATTTAAAAATACAAATCTGCTACAAGAAATTTCCTCACAATGAAAAATGAGAGATAAGAAGTACAGGACAAAATTTAAAAGTACAAGTCTGCTACGAGAAATTTCCTCACAATGAAAAATGAGAGATAATTAGAAAAATCTAAAAGAATTTCACTCTGTTTCACTATAAACTAATCAAACCTTTTAGATTATTAGTAGTCTGTTATCTTTATAGATAGAGCAATGGTGTGTGTGACCTGTCCCAAAATATTTCATTACTTACTTCCCGCTCTCCCCTTATCAAGGACAGGGATATGAGACTGTACAGGAGTGGGTTCAACTGCCTTTCTTTTATAGGTCTTTGTAAATTTATCCACATCAGGTTGTTTTCTGGTCATTTCCTCCACGAACGTCTGCAATCAGATAGAGGTGGTTTTAATTAACAATACACAAAAGTGACCACAGGTAAGAAAAGCACACAATAGCAAAAGACCAAAGTTACAAGAATGGCACAGAAAGACTCTTATAAAAAAAAGACACAGATAAAGGTTCTGTAGGTAGAAAAATGGGTGCTATGAGCTTTTAAGACCACTATGGCCTGGCTGTTAAAGGAAGACTAAATCTAGAAAACAGTCTGTCAAACTCCTTTATTCACTGTGTATGGTGAGGTGATGTCCAACGGGATTTTGACTCTTGGTCCTCAGGTGTTCCTTGCTGTCCAGAGTGCAGGTAAGAGAAGTGAGACAGCCTTTCCTTAAGAGAAGTCTCACAAGCTGGGGTAAGCCTGTGGGCATTCACTGCATCAGCAGCTCCCTCTGGCACTTCATGAAGATGTTTTGGAAATCAAGTCATTAAAGCCACACTGTAACACTAGTTCTCAGGCAGTAGCACTATCAGGCGTTTCAGGTGGAGTTTTTTTATTATTATCCTTGTTCTTCTGGGGAGTTGTAGGCTTGCTTTTAGAACAATGGGGCACTGAATCTTTTATTTTTAATTTTTAACCTCAACAAACTACACACACATACAAAACACACAACCGAGTACCTGAAAAGGGATTCAATTATTAGGAGAGGAAAGAGCTAAAGCGATTCACAATTGATTACAAAGCCCAGCTGAGACAGAGCACTATTTGTGGAATGTGCAGGACACGTGTCACTCAACATGCCTTACCTGATGTTCTGCAATAAGTGCTTTAACCTCGTCAATCTCCTGGGGGATAACCTCTTTATCTTTTTCAGTAAGTGTAGTCTCAGCCCACTGCAACCAGGAGAGCAAGGATTCCAGCAATTCCTGGTTGGCGATAAGTCCAGCCAGAGCTCCTGCCAGCCTCTGCTGATGTTGTTTAGCCCATACCAAGACCTTGGTAAAAGAACCAATACATGAGTATGTCCACATCTGAAATTCTTAAAATACATTTAAAATTGCTCTGCTAACTGTAAACCCAGAGTTTCCTCCCAGCCCTAGTGATGTTTGATTGTCAAATGTGCTAGATACAGTGGCTGATCACTAAAGGTGCTAGCTGACTAGAATTCCCAGTTCAACACCACATTTTTTCCACAGATGTTCATGATTAAGTGCTGTTAAATGCAGTAAGTAGGAAAATCAGGCAACATATTATGAACTTTTTAAAAACAATATCTGTAAGTTAGTGAATCACGGAGAATTTAGTGACTGTCTTCCTCCTGGGCATTCCTGAAGCCATACTTTGCTAACACCAGAGTTTTGTTTTTCTTTAAGCTTCATATACAACGAGAATACCACCTTAGCACCCTCAGAAACCTACTTTAATCATTTGGAAATCTTCTAGATCAGGAATATGTAGGACTGAAATCCTCCCTAATGCAATTAGAAAATGCTTCAAGTTTGCTGTGCATTTGCTTTGCTTTGCAACTTTCACATTTCTCCCTAGAAACTATTAGCTTTCTTCACATGGGAAGCGTCAGGCAGTATTTTCTTTAATACATACAAACAAAGAAGCTTTGACCATCTGCTTTAGTTCTTAAAGCCCTCTAAGTTTTAAAATAAAACCTAGGGAAGCACGGCTGGTATTCACATACATCACTGTGGGTATTTTAAATGTTTAGTTCTCAACAGCTGGATCATTTCCTCCCAGTGTAACGACCATGGTAGTTGTCAGCCACGTTTCAATGGAAGACAGACTGCTGCAATGAAGATGGCTTGACATATACTGACCTCTTCAAACCTGGCTCTGATGATTGTTATCCAGTTCTTAATGGTGGTGATGGAGTCTGGGTGGCAGATAGCTAGGATGGCTTCTCCCATACTTGTTGCTTTATTCACTTCTGCCTTTTTTTCTTCCATCTTCTTCATAAATTCCTGAACCACAGGTAATAATTTCAATTAGATCTTGACAAAATTTGCAAGAGAAAACTGAGTGCGTAGGCTGGGAAGGTCGCAAGCCTCTCTACTGTGCAAAGGGGGTCAACTTCCAAGCAGCACGTTTAATTTGTCTGAGAAAAGTTAAGAATGTCTAAAAACCCTATTCCACATAAAGTACTAAGCAGGTTCATCTTCCAAGAAGCACGTTTAATTTGTCTGAGAAAAGTTAAGAATGTCTAAAAACCCTATTCCACATAAAGTACTAAGCGAAGCTCTAAAATCTCTATCCCAGTTTCTCACTCCTTAAAAGCCCACCATATTGTAAATACTTGAAAGACACACGCCCTTGTTAAAAAAAAAAAGACAGAAAATCATAGGATTTTAGAAGTGCTGTACATCAACTATATGAGGGTTAGAATCATTATTGGCAACATTTCAGCTGACTTGGATTGTCTGTCAGTTACAGTAATTCTTCATAATAAACTACCAAGCTCCTAGCAGAGGCTGGAAACGTCCAACTATAATTACATGCTCAGACAAGATGATGGAGGACTTCAGGAGCAGCTCTACTAAACTAACACAAATGTGAAAACTCAGCTGCTGAAGGGGAGACACAGCAAGCAGAGGGACAGAGACTGCTAATTAACCAGCTGTTTTCAGAGGCACTGCCATGGGGGAAAAATCTTGTAAAAGCAGAAGGATGTTTACAGCTTTGGACATCTGAAGTCATAGCCATTGATGTTCCCAGGGAGTCTAGCAGAGGAAAGGGTGGCAGGACCAGAACTGGGTGTGGAGGGGAACAACAAAAAATCTGAAGGACTTGTCCCATCTTTTCTACAGTTTGTATTTCTTTATTTTAATTATTATTGCCACAATGGTTTTACTATTCTGCCTTTTTTTGTTACATCTAAATGTTGTGTCTGTGTATCTTTGTAAGCGCCCTTAACTGGAACTGCCAGCATCTCCCAGTGCCTAGTGGAATTCTTTGTTATATTTTTACATCTTTAATTGGGCTACAAAATGGAACTGTGTCTCTGAAAGTTTAACTCTTCCTCTCTCCACCCACAAAGGGCTATTTCAGATCCCAGAAATTAAAGATCAGCCAATTCAGATCCTAGAAAATTCAAAATCACTAAAGCATTGTAAAAACAGATTCTAAAACTCTTCATGATGACATTATCCTGTACTTATACAAAGTAAATATGAAGCTATTATGAAATAAAAGTGTAAAAGAAACAACCTCTTCTGTATAGTTCTAAAAGCCTGGAAAAGGTAAGCTGTATATTAAAAGAGATTCATCACTAACTGATTTTGACTTAAGCTTAAATTAATGTCAGAGTCTAAGACCCCATCACAATAGTGGTCCTGCTCTCATGAAAACGTGCGAGTTCTTACAATATTTCAGTTCAAAATGGTTTTGGAAAAGTTGATGTGGGCTGTAGTGAGAGATTACCAAAATAAGCCAGGGCCAGGAGGAAAACAGAAAACAACGTTGTTTTCCCTGCACAACTGTACTGGAATATCTCAAAATCTAAATCTATGACAAACTACTTCCAGTGTATTAAGCTTTTCCTCAGTAAAAGATACCAATTGAATCAGACTCCATGGCCATGCAGTGATACAGACACATCGACAAGAGAGGAGATGGGATGCTCCTCATTAACTAAAGCAGTGCATTAACCTACCACACCTCAGTGCCCAGAGAGGAGGGCAAGGGACAGAAACATCTCTGCCTGAGACAGCAGAATTCATTAAATCACGTGCAGTATTCAAGAAAAGAAAATCTGTAATGGGCATAAAGTCGGACCATTTGGATAAAATATCGTCCTAAAGAAACCTTTCAACATGTAGCTGGATACAAATGCATTAAAACTATTTCACAAGAATCTTAGTGACAAAAGGAAGATACATTTCATATTTATATAAATGTCAGTCATACTTTTTTTATATTAATATTGGAGCATTATAATACGGACATGGTGTTTAAAACTAATATTACATATTACATGTCCCCTTCTTTCTTTTTAGTTTCTTCCTGAAAGCTAATGTTACAAGCATAAGAAGAGAGACCACTCGTTCAAGGAAGATTTTGCTGTATGTGCTTATTGAGTGTTAAGGCAGCAGTGCCACAATCTTTCTTAGCTTGACAATCGCTGTATTTTTATTATTTGGCCTTTAAAAAGTAAACGTGGTTGGATGCACATCTTCTAAAGCCTACTAAAAAAAATTTAAGTACAGTATGGCCACATCTAACACAGAGGGTGGTTGTCTTGAGCTAGAGATTATTCTCCCCAGCTGGACAAGGTTTCTCAAACTTTGCTTTAGCTTGAGGTTCCAAGTTATGCTTCAACTTTGGCAGCACAATTTTGAGCTGTTGTACAGAAATATTTTGTTAATCAATCTACATTGCAGTGGCAGAGATTTAAGGTGGGTTTTTTTTTTTCCTAGTGATTTCAGTTGGACCTAAGATTTCATTCAGATAGTTCTCTGTATTCAGAAGAGCAAAAAATTAAATAAAAGGGAACTGATGAAGCACATGGAAAGGCAGCTAAAGCCAAATTTAACTGCATTGGAGACAGCAGGTTGCTACTGCCAACATTAGTCAGCACATGCTGATGCATTCAGACAGTTGCCAGCTAAAGAACAGCACCCACTTTCCAGGGCCCTAAAATTAAATCTGAAAACTTCTCCAAAACATTGCAGTCTGAGTACCTTGAAAACTCCTTAGTTAAGAACCATTACACAGTCATACCCTGCATGTACTCCTCTGTGTAACAATATTCCCAAACTCAATTTAAACAGGATGCTTTTCCCCTCTCCATTTCCTAAGTTCTGCTACAACTTTCTTCAGAGCAATGATGAACAATTCCATTACTCTTACAATTTGTTCTGTAACAGCGTGGGCACTGTATTATTTGTACTATTTCTACTGCACTTACAAGAAGAATTTTGCAGGGGCTTAAATGTGCATGTTTGTACCCTCCTGTTTGGAGAGAGAAGATATGACTTCTGTGCTCCTCAGGCATTTTCCCATTTAATTAGTGCAAAGTAGTTTGCTGCTCTCTAATGTAGTATCTGCAATACCTATGGCACTGCAGTATTTCAGTACCTAAGGCGTGTGAGGTACGACAGCACGCTGTTCCACCATGACAGAAGGTTAATGGATGATAACATCATCCTGCTGACACTTACAAGTGACCTTGAAACAAAAGTATATGCTGGTTTTGCTCAACAGTGCTAAGATGACACGTATACTTTTGCTACTGTGGCAGTCTGTCTTATAATTTCTGAAAATATACTCCACAGAGGGGTTTGCATCTGTCTCTAAATGTGTTTACAGCAACTTTCTCAAGGCCCATTCTATTCTCAGTAAGCCAAGAGAAGTCAAACAACTCCAGCACGGGCACCAAACTGTCAACCCCATTAAATTTCTAGCTTCACTATAAAAATGGTTGCACAAACAAACACTGGATGCTGGATATGACTACATGGAGTGCTGGAGCGTGTCCAGAGGAGAGCCACCAAGCTGGCGAGGGGTCTGGAGAACACAGCCTATGAGGAGAGGCTGAGGGACCTGGGCATGCTTAGTTTGGAGAAGAGGAGGCTGAGGGGAGCCCTCATTGCCCTCTACCTGAAAGGAGGCTGTAGAGAGGTGGGGGTTGGCCTCTTCTCCCAAAGGAATAATGACAGGAGCAGAGGGAATGGTATGAAGCTGCAGCAGGGGAGATTCAGATTAGATATTAGGAAGAATTACTTTACTGAAAGAGTGGTCAGGCACTGGAACAGCCTGCCCAGGGAGGGGGTGGAGTCACCTTCCCTGGAAGTATTGAAGAAACGTGTAGACGTGGCTCTTCAGGGCATGCTCTAGTGCCCAAGATTATTGGTTTGTGGTGGGGTGTTGTGTGTGGGGTTGTGGGGTTTAGTTGGTGGGTGGTGATTTTGGGTTTGTTGTTCTTGTGGTGGTTTTTTTGTTTGTTTGTGCTTGGGGGTTTTTTTGGTTGGGTTTTTTTTTTGTGGTTGGACTCGATGATCTCCAAGGTCCCTTCCAACCACCAAGATTCTGTGATTCTGTGATTCTATGGGATAGACTCTGCCTCCTTTCCTTTACTCTACCCTCTCACCAGCCTGTCAGAAGGAAGAGGATCCCCTTCATTTTCTTGCTTACCCTGTGCTGCTCTATCAGCGCAACCAAGGCCTCTTCATCATCTGGAAGGACCCCGTGGCAACGAAGAGCCTGCTCTGCCTCTGCCTGCCACGCCAGAAGGACATGGACAACAGAGTGGAACTCTTCTGCCTGTTAAAACACAAGAAGTCAGGGTCAGTCATGAGAGGATCTGACAGACACACTGCAGCTTACACGAGGAGACCGAGCCCACATTTGGAGTCATTAATCACGCAGCAGTACTGGCACATTAACTTTCCATTAAAAAGTCAATGATATACAGTACTACATTTTCATAACTGTAAAAATATCTCATGCTTCCCCCAAAATTATAGGAAGCCTAAAAGCCTATTCATGCTTTTAGGCATCTGATTTATAGCGTATTTGCAGCTCAGTTGAGAATGTCATGTCTTTATGCTGACAAATTACACAGGAGGTGCTTTCATGGACCAGCTGGAGAGATGAGAACTGTATTTTCTGCACAGCCTAAATCACTGGCTAAGCAAAATTAATCGACAGCCCGTTGGTTACTGACCCTTTTATGTCTGGAGAAACAAAGTTCCACCTTTGGGCACAGCCATATTCAGACACAATGAGCGTTTGAGGTAGCTCAGGATTGTGCCTGCTGAGAGCCCAGAGAGCTGGACAATCATGGGGAAGAGCAGGGCTGGAATTTTGTACTCAGTGGACACATGGCTATTGCAGGAGCCCCATCCTAGCATCAGCCCAAGGTAGTGTATCTCCATAGAGCTGCACATCCTGGTTGTTGGGGATCAATACCAGCCAACACTGACACACACACACTGTTCTAGCTCCTGGGCGTGCTCAGCACAACCCCATTTTTTTCACAACATACTTCACCGTGCACTGTAGTTGTGCCAATGTAAACAAGTTTTCAGTACACAAATGTACTTCTTTCCAATAAGGCACAAAGGGCATAAATATGATTACAATCTCCAGCTTCCTGTGAAGGGAGCATAGTTCCAATCACCCTTCACGCTTGACTGTTAACTTCAGTGATTGCCTTAGATGGTAAGGTCTTTGAAACATTTGCTTTGCATTTGTGGTATAGACTAATAATAACAGCAATAATAAATGCTAAGAGGCATTATTTATGTGCTGTGGTGAAGGGACGGAGACAAGGTAAGCAATGCATGAGCAAGAAAGTTAGTATTTCAAATTAAATTAAATTAAATTGAGCGACGTGAAGTGAAAATGAAATTAAATTTCTGGCAGCTCGACGGCAAGATATTTTCTCTGCTTCTCATAAAATACATGTAGTACTCCTTTACCTGCCGAAGAGCTTGTTCCAGTCGTGTTTGCTTGGAGACTGACAAGGCACAGACTTTCTCCCAGCGAGTGCTCAGCTCCTGCATTTGGACTTTGACCCAGGAAGAGTCATCACGGCTGCCTTCTATCAGCTCCCTGGCAGAGCGCTTCAGAGCCTGGACACTGCTTGTTCTTTTGCCCAGCTCCTTCTGGAAAACCTAGGCACCACCAAATACATTTGATATGTTTAATTCATCAAGGGATAATTACGTAAAGAGAAACAAAAAAACCCTACTGCTTATAAGAAGAAATCGAAATACGGGTTTAGTTTCAATCACAAATAACTCCATCAAAGTGAACTCAAAACGCCAAGTTCTGCTCATTATACTCCACATGAAGCTATTTACACTCTATCCTATCCTCATAAAACCAGAATATGGTAGATAAAACGTCAGGCAGGTCCTGCAATGTATGGGAAATCTAGCCTCCTGGCCACGCTGGCTTTACACTCTTTATCAAAGCAATTGATCTGACACACTTGATTTATGCCCAAGATTGCTGCAGCAGGAAAAGATCAGATAAAATGCTAACAACCAGGAGAAGGTTTAAAAATCACGAAAGCAGAACTAAAACCCCAGCTGGAGGTCTGACTGTAAGGCTGTAGATCTCACCATATATTCCTATATTTCTGTGAGAGTACGTTCACAGTTGCAGATGAAACAAGCTCCAGTCACATAAAGGAAGCTCTTAAAAGTAGATAATGACAATTACAGCATATTGTGCCACTGACTATGACCTAGTTGTGACGTACAATGGGCCTGCAGAAGCAATCCCAGCCTATTTCACAGCAATTTTTATAGACAACCCACGTTTCCAAATACTTATTTTTAATGAGGGACAAAAATCTCCTTCTCACTGAACCCTCCTCGTCTTTGGGTACTGGAAGTCATGAGTAGATGAGTAAAGGGATTTTCACCTCACAATCCTCTCAGGCTCCAGAGCTCTGACTGTGTGTAGCCTCTGCAATACCAGTAACTTCAACAGCTGGTTCTTTTGACACACTGAACTGAGAAACCAGGATTCAGAGGCACAGTCCTACATCTCCTACTCACTCCCACCTCCATAAACTTCAGTAACAAAATACTGCAGCTTGTCTATGTAGGCTTCCTGGGTGTGATAATCTAGCTGTCTACTCCCATGCATAACTTAGGCATTGCAACTACTTTTCTCTATCAATATTCAGCAGCCCTGCAGGTTTGAAATGCTGCTTTAGTCACGGTGAGTGCACCGGACATTTGGTTAGCAGATGTACTAAATAAAAAGCCATCTCCCCCAAAGATTTCCAGTAAAATAATTTTTGCCACCTCTTGCCCTCACACACCAATTCGTGCTGCCATCCAGCGAGATCTGGACAGGCATATTCGTGCTGCCATCCAGTGAGATCTGAACAGGCTGGAGAACTGGGCAAGGAAGAACCTCATGAGGTTCAACAAGGAAAAGTGTAGGATCCTGCACCTGGGGAAGAAGAATGTCAGGCACCAATACAGGTTAGGGGTGGGCCTGCTGGAGCCAAGCTCTGAAGAAAAGGATCTGGGGGTCCTGGTGGACAACAAAATGACAATGAGCAAACACTGTGCTCTTGTGGCCGCGAGGGCCAACTGAATCCTGGGCTGCGGAGGGAAGAGTGTGGCCTGCAG